CCCCTGTCTGACCAATGAAGATAATGCACCCACTCACTGTTTCTTGGCTACGTAACTAATTCATCCAGAAAAAAATTAGAACCAACTACTTGCACAAAGCATCCACGAAATTCTGACTAAGACAGAGGAAATATTATACAGATATGAAGAACACACTTTCAAGAACGGACATAGTGGAAACCGAGCCGTACCGAAAGCTCGGTTTGAAGGCTATAGTGTCCGCAGTGGCGACAACAGACGTGAAAGAACTGGGCCTTTGCAAATTAAACAGGCTAAGATTTGTACGCTAACAAACTGAGGACTAAAAATTCTGCGCAGGTCAGCAACCTAGATCTGATTCAGACTATGACTCTTAGAGAACAGTATCGTAACGAAGCTAAACTTAAGATCTAAATTGGGTGAGTTTGGACTGGTTGGATACTACCTAACCACATCTGTACATGGTTTGCAGAGCGAATTTGGTACATTCAGCACTTATCCCGGCCTCCAACTCGCATTCTCTGCCACTGACGACTTAACAGTCCGTTCCTGAAGTCAGCATGTTGACAGATAACATCTGCCAAAATTCCCATATTACGATTGAAAATTCATTTAGCAAACATATGCTTTCCCTGGAGGACTGCTGCTCCTGATTTTCTTCTTCCCTCGCGAGTCGTACATTTGAAAAGATTTTGTTGAGAGGATTATGGGACTGTAGCGGCATGAGCTTCTCGACAATGCTCGCCCGGCAATGATGCCAAAAGACCAGTTCAAGCTGGCTGGAGGCAGCTCTTCCTAGATCTCGCAGAACCATCTCAGTCAATTAGCCGGACATGGGTAAATCAACTGAAGTTTCGAGGATCTGTTCAACAAAGCTGATACAGCTTTTTAGTCTGAATTTGAACATCCTCATGGGGTGCTTAATCTTGCCTGATTCCTAGGTCTCGTTGCAAGTTACATGCAGGTTTCCGGGCAAAACGCATTGCCTTTCGTCGGGTGAGATGAATTTTAACATTGATATCGAAGATGACAAGGATGTTGACCGACTGGGTCCTCCGACCGCAGTCGTATAAGAATAAATGAGAGGCTAACTGGACTAAGGTAATCAACTTGCCCTGAAGAGGCCTTGATTATGACAACATACGGCTCAGGTGGAAAATTTAGCTTATGGATCTCTGGCAGGTCATAGAATCAACGACAACAGCATCCGTTAATTTCATTTGCGGCATCCACGATTCTACACACTTGCTGTGACCATCCCGCGCTGCCTAAGAATTGTCCACCCAGGGCATTTAAATGGGCTACTCTTTAAAGACCATTCCGTTATAAGGGGGAGTTGAAACTTAAAACATGAATACTCTAGATCTTCCGGACAAATTACGAGAACTTACAATCGTAGCAGACGAGATAGCGGTATCTTCTGATAGTCTGTGTTCACGTCCATACGTTAAACAATGCAAGCGAGAATTCCCCATGCCTACCCGATAGGCAGCGTGTTGACAGATAGCAATAACATATAGAAGGTTGTCTTCGCTTCCTTCATCCCTAGTGTTTTTGTGTTTTTCAAAGAATGGTTCGGTATGCAGGACATACTATTCAATTCCAGTGGTCAGGCGGCCAGGCACTTTGAAGACCCATAGAGTCCAACCGTATATCGGCAGCCTTCTTGGGGTGGGATTCGGCCATATTAGCATACCTAGTATGGTTATCTCCGACATCAGAAAGGGATCTGGGTCCACCTTCATCATTACATCTTTATACTTCGTTTTGATAGTTGGTTTGCTGTCAAAGTGGCTAATGTAAAGGAATTTAGCAGTGCAACCGGCAGTCTGCTAAAACAAAGGTAGGAATTGGCCTTGACTTGCCGTTGAGTAATCCGAGACACCTTAAACTGTGGACCGCCAACTTTTACAGATATAAACTGTGAAATAACTGAAATATGTAAAAGTGGCTGCCTTAAAAACTTACGGCATTTTGCCTAGACAGGATAAATACCCTAGACTGGGATATGGGGATGAGGAGGAGGAGGAGGAGGAGGAGACTCAATTGCTTGAGCAAGAGATTTATTTGCATATCGTCTAGGATTTACTTTAGAACACAGCGCCATAGACATTAACAGTTCAAGGGTAGCAAACACACAGAGACTACAGTACATGACTGGCGCAGTTGCTGTGCCACTGCGCACCTATTTAAATTAGCAACTCGCGTATCATCTCAAGCGTCCCTGTTTGGTTCACTGGCGGTCTGGTCGCTCGCATCTGAGTCCTTAACTGACGGAAATAACATTATCTGTGCTAGTGGTTGGGATGGTACTGAGTTAGTCCTTTGGTTCACCAATACTGTTATTGGGAGCTGCGTTCTCCGACCCTCCGGACGAGATTAATTACTTCGATCAGACAAAGTCTGAGTGTTGATGGATTGCGAGACGAAGAACCATGACACAAGCAGTTCACAACGTACGCGATTATCCACTCCTGTGAGAATTTCGGTCGTATTAGACTTAAACGTGTTGCCGCGTTTCGTTGCATAAGCCGCGACTGAGCGTTGGCGCCATTCATCCCACTGCTGGTGCGTGTTCGGTCATCCGTTCCAAGACTAATTTTTGGGATTCTCTAACCCCTCCGTTCTGTCTGCATCCGCACCAAGCCCAGTAAGCGAGGCTGCACGTCTCTTGCCCTGACAACTGGTATTTCGGTCGCGATGTGACCGCGACGGATGCTGTTGATCTTAGCAGGCTCATGGTAATCTAGCGACCGTCCCCCAGGTTTACTATACTCCTCCTGTATGCCGCCTGCCTTTTTTAACGGTTACTGTTTTCAGTACTGGATTTAAAGATGAATTTGAAGCATCAGATGAACAAGATTCTTGCTCCAGCGATCATGTCCGCCTTTATTCGTGTACCCGCAGAATGCATTATTTTACTTCGCTGTGTAGAAGAGTCGAGTTTAGCCCCGTAAGTTCTCTTCATATGCCCCTAATACGCGCCACGCGGTGGATGCGCTGGCTCAACACGGAGTCACACTAAATTCTGACAGGCGTTATCGGAAATATGTACCTCTTACAAATGCCAACACTCGGCGTGTGGTGGCAGCCCCAGTTGTCGGCTCACGTCGCGTCATTTTGGATCCCTGCCACCTCCTCTCAATTTTTGTTGACGGTTGAAATCCTAATCAAGTGTTCGTTGTGGATCAGGGGGTGTATTGATAAGCCTGTCTGGTCTGGCCAGCCACCTGCGCCCCCTCAATATCTTGTCACCGGGCCCAGATGGGGGAGGAGGAGAGAGCGCGGTGGATGTTTGTGCAAGTCTAAAATTACTATAAACGGATTCACGCACAAGTCACCGTCTTCATCCGCTCTCATCCTCTTTTGGAGCATACGGTGGACATCGTCAGTCACGACGGTCGAATTGCCATGTTCACAACATATTTTTGGGCTTGGAAATTGCCTACTGGTGGCTTTAGACCGTCCCCTACCGATAGATATTAGTGCGCATGCCCAAAAAACACAAGTTAATCTGTTACAGATGTCGAAGAGTTTACGCTTAAAACGAAGAAAACATCCAACAGTTATTTCGTTCCCGAGAAATTAGATCATGTTATCAATATTCGATGCGCATATTCACGTGGAAAAAGCCGCCACCTTGATAGTGGCTCGCAGACTCTTCACAGTTTGAGGTAAAAGGATGTGTAGATTGAGCATTTTCCCATTTTCATGCACTTTATGATTCTCACACCCATACATCTAACTGAGCAGAAAGAAGAACAGTTAAATGGACAAGTTAAAAAAGGGGGTGAGCTTTTGAAAATGCAAAAACACAAGCTGGCTTGCCTAATGCAAACTGCGGTCATGTGAGCATTTCGCGAAGAAAGTGCATTTTTGAGACGTTTTTAGACCAAAGACTGCACTGAGCGGACGCGATCAAAGTTTTTAAAGAGCAGATTTGACGAAGAATGGGTGAAGTGTAAGAAACCCAAAAGATTCTGATCACACTGAGGTGTGAAAAATAATTGCATTTATTCTAGTCACCAAAAAAATCTGATAAGGTAAAAACCAAGTATGAAACATCCCCTCGAAGAACATCTATGACTGCTGGAGGATTCAGCGCTCGAATACGGGAATAAGCACCCCTCGAACTGCAGGTAACCTTGCGGGGTACTCTGTGTCGTGTCCTAACCTCAACCCTAACCCTAACACTAACCCTCATGCCACCGACCCTAGCCCCAACAATAGCGCTAAACCTACCCTCTCCCCGCCTGGAATTTGGCACAAGGTCAGCTGTTATACGGGAGGACCTATTCCCATGTCCAACCGGCATAATTGTTAATAAGAAGGAAAGGGGCTCTTTATTCAGTATAGATTCTCCAAGCGTGTATTCTTCTGTAAGGAGCAATAAACGTTCTCAGACTTAAACTGGCGTTTAAACTCTGGGACACGCTTAATGGCGCAAGCATTGGCGTGAAAAATATATTCTTATTTGCGTTCGAAGAGAAGCTGGGTTCATTTTGTAATGCCATTTCCTCAAGGGAGGGGCAAGCAGTCTGATATCTTTCAAAAACCTACCTTGACCACAAATGCCTGTTATTTTCATGCAGACAATTATCTCAGCTCCTACAAGGTTTAATGTCATAGTTGGATCTTATCGAGGACCCAGTTCATCAAACCGTTTTTCCAGTTGACAAAGTTTAATTCACCAAAAATAGTCTCAGACACGATTAAGAAATTAAAATGTTACGCACCTACGTATCATGTGCCCAGTTTTGAGTGGTAGAATGTACACAATTATACATGTCAGGCATACTGGCCTAAAGAGTGAGCATCAACATACGCACCAGTCAATGCCGCATCATGAGCGGTGAGGTGTATGTCATGATGCATATTTAAAAGATTCACAAATTGGTGTATTTTGCTTCGATTTCAGACAGTCGTTGTTTAGTCAGAAAACGTGATAGTATAGGACACTATATAACAGAGGGGGAAATGGAGTGCCAATACAAAAAGGCTGACGCTGCTAGTTAGTTTTCATGATCCCCCAACGAGAAGAATTGCGTTTCAGCGCTACCCCTATTTGTGCACCCCAAGGTAAGTCAAAATGTTTAATCTTCCTTTCATATTTTGATATTTCGTTAAATGCTAACCTAAAATCCCCCATTTTATGGACTATCTTACGAAATCCTATCGGTATTTTTTTTACTGCATCCTAGACTTTACTTCAAATTCTAACGGAGTTCGAGGAGGCAGGTGACGCAATCTAACACGGAAAACAGACCATTCGTTATTTTTTTCGGTAGTGCCTGCAATACCTGCTTGCCCGGCCCCCCGATGTAGCCGACAGTACACCGAGAAAAAATTGTCGTACAGCTGATGAAATTGTGTTTTTACGAATGCTGTTCCTGAGCCCTTACAGATTTATAGCGATGCCACCTCTGAAGGAGAAGACCTGGGCCGATCTCGTAGTCTGTAGAATAGGACTGCGCTGTTTGAATGGAAAGGGGTTTTATGCAAGATGGACAGGTAAACAAGAATGCAAGGCGTAAAACGACTTCATTTCTGACAGAAATTTTCAGATTGATCGTCTTCAAGTGAGTTTTTCTCTAATCTTCGCTAAGTCGTCAGTATCTGGTGTACTTTGAGCTGCTTCGTTTGTTCGACAACCCGAAATAGGGATGCTGCATTTTTAACGCAAGCGGTAATGCAGCTCCCTCCCCCCTCCACACCTTGTATGTTATCCCGCTGCACTGGATGCTCATCTGCTTACGCGCAGTCATCTAGAAACGTAGTGTCCTCTCCTCCACAGGGTCCACTGGAAACAGAAGAGAGGCGTAAAAGCCTCAACCTTGGTGAGCAGTCTAAAGTACGTGTAGTGGCAACAGATCGGTTTCATGGCCACATATTTTACTCTGATCAATTCCATCCTCTGCGAGCTGCACACTGTGGGCGGAAGGCACAGAAAGGTATATATTTTCATAGGTATTTTGGCAGATTTTAAATAATTCTTATTGGTCCAACTGTGAAAAACTCGGCGCCTCGGCGGTATTCGAACCCACGCAAAAAAGAAAGGCTTTAGTACAGCCAGTGTTTTAACCATCTGAACTACGAGGCCCCTCCGGGCGACGCGAGTTTAATCACATTTGGGTCAAGTTACCCGCCCAACCTACTGCAACGTCTGGAATCCACCAAATCCCATACAGTAAGTGAACTGGCCAAGCAGGATTTCCTAAGTAATTCGCCTAGAATCCACCAGATGACTGCCAGGCTCTCGTAATTCATAGGTATTTTGGCAGATTTTAAATAATTCTTATTGGCCCAACTGTGAAAACCCGGCGCCTCGGTGGTATTCGAACCCACGCAGTAAGAGGAAGGCTTTAGTACAGCCGACGCTCTAACCACTTGAGCTACGAGGTTCCGCCGGACGACGCGATTTTAATCACATTTGGGTCAAATTCGAATACCACCAAGCAGCCGAATTTTCCGCAGTTGGGTCAGTAAGAATATATATTTTCAGCAAAGCCTGAGGCTCAGCACACGTTAGTAGCGATTCAGATTTTTTCAGCATAAATACCGAATAGGTCTTTGATTATTACATCATTCGGGGAGACAGGATCGGTAAGGCAATAAAATAACCTAAAAAAGTCAATCATTGCCTGCTGCCGTAAAATGCGTAAAAAATTCTACACCACAGTGTTATAACCTGCGGGAACCATTGCGTGAGACATCGCTGCGATCCCTTTAGTCGTCACACTCACGCATGAAAGAACACTGAAAGCTGTAGCGACTAAGCGGTGATGGTGTACGCTCAGTACGCCACAACTTCAGGCCATATCCCAAGTTGTTAGAAGCAGGACGCCATTTGGTTAGGACACTTTATTCTGTACAGAATAGTGAAGGAGAAAGTTGGCAACCGGACGAGGATGCGTCCGGCGCCGCGGAGGTGGCGTCCGCGAGAGCGACGAGCCGTGTGTTGCCAAATGTCGCCGCTGCAAATGTGTCGCTGCAGATTGTTTACTCTATTGTTCTGGACTGTTCCCGCCTGTCTTATCAATCAGCGTTAGGAGCTGCGTTGATCGGCTCCGAGCCCACGCGAAGGTAGTGACAAGCCTCGCGTGGTGCAGGCAGAGAATCGACCGAACGCGTGGTGCAGACAGTGAATTGCAACGAGACAAATCGAAGCCGAGCAGACGTGCGTGCCATAGCAGGCTGTCGCTAGGGCGTAGGTGCAGGCGCTAGCGAGAGGCGCGACGTAGCCATTATGGCTGTCCACTATAAAGCATGCTGTCATATCTCCGAATAGGTAATATACAGAATTAAGATGTCGTCCGCGAGCTTCCTAAACTCAGTGAACAGTTTCCATATAAAGTGCCGATTGTACCTGCCTGCAACGCTGTTACTGTAAGGTTTGCGGCTGTTTTAAAGTCTGTGCAATAAAGGAGGTCTTTGCACTAACCGCAATGTATTAGACCTTTCGCTTTCTAATATCATGTTTATAAATAGCTTTTAAACGCCAGTATGGCGGCTGACCAACTGAATACGAGTGTTTGCCCTTAAATAAAGATAAAACATCAACAAACCCTTGTCTTCGTCCTCTAAAAAATTTGTCACTATTTTTTCCCTTGCGAGCCACTTGATGGAGGATGTTGGGAGGAATTATTGATAGGACAGCGCACAAAAACCGGTGAACTGATCGTCTTTAGGGTGATCAGATTCGATCACGGTTGGGACTACGTGTCTTTAGTGCCGACCTCCATTGCGGCCCTTAACCACAATATGTAATGAGTGCAGGCCTGACAACTTGCTGCGTAGCCCACACCTGTTTGCGCGTTGTCACGTCCGACCTTACAAGGCTTACTCAGTCTCCGCTACCTGCGCAAATATGGTTTATCCAACTGTTAAATTTGTCCGCGCTCACGACTGCAGCCGATACAAGTGACCTCCCACCCTAATGCACCAGCATGACTGACGAAGACTTTGCTTGGTCCTTCAGAAAGGGGACATTTCCGTGTGTATTCACGATGAGGTTGGTGTGGTCTTGTGTCGGTGTGAGGAGCCGGTGCCTCTTCCTTCGCTGGCCCTGTAATTTCTCAAATTCTTGCCTGCCAGTCCCTTCCTCGACCGTCGGCGCACACTCCTGACACTTTCCTGTTGATGCCGGAAGCGCTGCATTCCCCACCGATTGTCACGCCGATGCGCTGGGATTGTTGCCAACGGCCATGTATGGCGTCCTTGTTCAAGGCTCCGCTGCGGAAGGCCATTCGCCGTCGCAGCGAGCGGTTTCGGACACGTTAGCCGCAGCCACTTGGCCGATTTCAACTCGGACGCACATGCGCCCACAGAGTCGCAGCTGCCCACGCGCCATTTGAACACACCACGCCCCTGTGAATGTAACCTACTCCATGTCAACAGCACTCCTCGACAAATGCAATGTAGACCAACTGGACATCATTTGAGCCTGCCGCACAAACCTGCAAAAGCGGCTGCCACCACTCGCCTCATTCTCCCTCTCAGACACGACCTTACCCCCAGCACATGCTCTGGCCTCACCATCGTCCACTGGCGCCTGAGAGGGCAACTCAGTGTTCGTACATGACAAACCCCTCGTTTTGGTGATTTCTGTCCTTTCCTACAACACGGGGATTGACTTGATGATCGTAGCGCTCTGAGCGAGGTTCCGCAACGATGACTGCTTCCGCCAACTTCCGAAAATGACGACAAAATCGGACAGGGACGACCAGAAGCAATATCGGGCTGAAATAGCGACCTCTATGGAACAGGCCTCGAACGTTAGTGACACTCAAAAACTCTACCAACTTACTGCCAAGTTAGTGATAAGCCCCCTACACTGAGTGACTCTGTTCGCGATGTTAACGGCGGCTTTATTGCTGACAACTCGGCCAAAGTCGAACTCTGTCGCGAGCACTTCAAGCACCATCTCAACTTTGATACCCAACCTACCTCGCCCTTGCTCTCCTCTTCAGCGGAGTTTCTTCCCTCTCCCACCTATGCAGTGCCATGCAACCCCCTCCCCTCCTCCTCTAATGGAGAAGGAAAGTTGCGCAACAATAAGGCACCAGGAGAGGACGGTATAACCTCTGAAATCTTCAAGTCCTGTGTCGACACTGACGCCCTAGCTCCATGAGGTGATTGAACGAGCGTGGAGGGACGAGGTTGTTTCTGATGACTGGGGCCTAGACATCCTTGTACCTATCCTCAAGAAGGGAGATAAGACGAGATGCGAAAACTACCGCGGCATAAGTCTCATCGACGTTGCTGCGAAGATCTTCGCTATTGTCCTACTCAGACGATTCCAGGCTGTGCGTGACTCAAGGACGAGGCCCAACCAAGCCGGATTTCGTGTTGGACGTGGAAACGCAGACCAGGTATTCACACTGAGGCGCATTCTCGAATTTCGTCATAGCTACCAACAACCGACGGCCGTCTGCTTCATTGACTTTGCCGGCGCGTTCGACTCCGTTCACCGTGAGTCCCTGTGGCTGATAATAGCGCTCGATGCTGTACCGCCAAAAATCATCGCCATGATCAAAGCCTATTATTGCTCCATTGCCCCATAAATGCGAGAGTCCTGGTCCGCAACAATCTTTCCCAACCGTTCGGTATTCGGTCTGGTGTTTGACAGGGTTGTATCCTGTCGCCCATTCTGTTCGACTATGTTATTTACTGGATCCGCGGGAGGGCCCTACACGAAAGTGACGGTGTTGAGTTTGCACCCGGACACCGACTGACCGATCTTGACTTTGCCGGTGATATCCCCTTACTTGCTTCAAGTTTTGATAATCTGCAATCTATGGTGTCACGGGTGAACGAGGTCGCTAAATCGGTCGGTTTGTCCATAAACGCTGGGAAGACCAAAGTGTTCTCAAGCTGCATCCCTGACCAGAAGAAGGCGCCCCTCGTGAATTATGGATGTCAACTCGAAGAAGTAGACAGTTTTAGATACCTCGGGACGAGGCTGCTGTCTCATGGACAGAGTAAGGAGGACATTGTCGCCCCAATTGATGTTGCCCGCTGGGTTTTCTTAAGCCTTCGAAAATGCCTATGGATCCGACGTGACCTCTCCATCGTCACTAAGATTCGCGTGTACCGTGCATCTGTCCGTCTGTCCTTCTCTACGGTTGTGAATGCTGGCTTTGCGCGTGGAGGACGAGCGAAAACTGGAGGTATTTGACCACCACTGCTTGAGGACCATCCTCTGAGTGAAGTACACCGACTTCGTCTCAAATGAGCCAGTCTGCGCTCGCTGCGACAACATCGCAGGGATAATTCAGACCATCCAAGAAAGACGACTGAGGTGGTTCGGGCATGTTCTTCGTCGTCCACCTCGGGAGCTCAGTGTTACTGCCCTCGATCCGGTACCGTTGCCCCATTGGAAGCGTCGAAGAGGGGGGTCAGTTCAAAACCTGGCTCGACGCAGTTCGTGAAGATATTGAGGTGGTTCTTGAACCTTCGGTATTCGGCCTTCGTCGTTGGCAAAGGGAAAGGGTTGAACTGTCCAGATCTGTTGCCGCGGATCGTCACGCGTGGAGAGGCACAGTTCGGGACATCATCGAGGCCGGCTAGATCAGGCATGATCGCAGCCGTATCAAGTACGAGCAAGTAAGCGCTCCGAATACACATTAAACGCCCAGGCGCCACGGGATCACCCCCATTCGGACGCATCATTTACACGTGTATCAACATTCTTCTTTCTATTTCTTGGCTACCATTTCACTGTCAGATTTATTTCCTATCCGTTATGCATATTCTATGCACATATAATCTTTTCTCCCACACTATTCACCTGTCTGTGCAACATGCCCAATTTAGCGACTCCAACCAACATACTTAGGGCCGAGTAAACTGTCCAGCGTGTGCTGCATAACCGACTGCGCACCAGCCTCAAAATTTTCGGACTTTACACCACGTACCTAGTTAGCCGAGCATTACCGTGGGTTCCTTTCCTGACGCGGCCAGCAACCGCGCCGGCGATTGATGCATTCACACAAAGCAACGTCGGTTGCGTGGGTTCTCGCTAGCACGCACTCGTTGAACTTCCTATTTCGCTATTTTTAATGTCTCCGTCCGTTCAATCCCGATTCCCTCGCCATTACCGATACTGGTTACGAAACATGACGTTCTCTAAATAAAACACCTAAAAACGATCAAAAGTGACATGCGCTGCTGCTCACGACCACAATAGAAAATGCCTAACATGAGAAGCTAAAAGTAAGGAACATTTTCGATAACATCACAATGGTCTACGGCCAACAGTTGATGGGAAAATCTCTGCTGAGAACTTCGGGCTGATTAAAAATGCAATTCGGTGGGTAGACTGTAATCATCGACAACTCCGGGCATCTTCATCGAGAAGATTGGGCGTATTTAGATTCGTACATTTGTGTGATTTCCTTGTGCCACGTTTTTCATGTATTAGCAGTTGGTTCATATCAAAACGGCACCTCCGACAGTGATGTTAAGTACAACAGCAATCATAAGCTATCAAAACTCCGTTAAATGCAATTTACAGAAAAATATTTAGGGAAAGTTCGGTGGCCACAGGTAAACCGATAGATGTATGAACACCACTGCTGAGGCCGACCAGGCAACGAATCATTCGTTTGTCTATTTCAAGGTACAGAAACATCATACTGGCGATTTTAGCAAGTAACAACCAGAGTGTACGTGCCCACGTATGTTGTCCCCTTTTTGACACCTATTGCCGTATACTTTAAATTTTTCGTTTGCCTCGGAAAATTATGGCCTTCCGTTTTCCTCCAGCCCTCGTGCTATTTGCTTTAAACTCCCGTTTTCTTCCCGCGCAACTTGACACTGCCCGTCTGACCATACGCCACATCTTTCTGACTGTAGGCCTGGAGACATTTCGTTGTAAATGTAACATTTAAATCTTACTAATCATGCCAATTATAGAACCGTGTTTCAGTAAAATTCTGCACTTATTTACACTGTTTCCACGTACGGACTGCACGAAGTAAGCCGACTCAGGCGGCTGAATCTAGACAGGCTAGAAAGCAGCTAGGTTCAACAGACTCTGTGTGAGTAACGCGAACGGGCCAACAGTTGGCGGTCGAACTTACTCCACACAGAGTACTGGTTGTATCTTAAGCGCCACAATCATGGAGACAATTTTTGATTGATCACAGAAAAGTTAATACAATATAATGCGGTATTTGTTCTGTGCACAAACCCGACCAACTGTCACAAGCAGCTATGGCCAATGGCTAGGCCAGAAAACGGGCCAAGAGCGTGAAGAAAAGCCTCAGGGGGAGAGCTAAAGAGTTTGTGGTGTTGGCTGATTTTGTGCGTGTCGGAGATATAACAAGATTCCTTGCGATCAAGGGGCGTGCGTTGAATTATCCGAGGCGTGGTGTGTTCAAGTGATGCATGGACGACCGTGTCCGGCTGAATAAGCGTGCATCTGAGCCGAAGCCAATCGCGTGGCTGCGGGTCAGCACGTCGGAGAAGGAACGTGGTGGTCGTGAACCAGGAGTACTCATTATGAGAGCGAATAATGATAAGTTATTTGTACCCTAAACCAGAAAAATTTAACGGTTCATTTATGACAGGTAACTGTAGAGCATACTTTCTCAGACCGCTGTGGAAGCTTTTTCTTTCTGAAGCAGTAAGCTGGCGCGAAACTGAGCCTCCTTCACCGCTACCCGGTCAGAAATGTATCAGCTGAAGATCTTTTGGGGAATTCTGAAGCATGTCGAGAATTTATGTTAGAAAAGCACGAAATCACCTGTAGAGGAGCACGGTGAGGACCCAACAGTCTTCCTTATTGTACCGACGGGAAAAGTTCGTTTCACTGCGCCGAAGCAGAGCTTACTGCCTGTTATGTAGGACACGCTACTACATTTATTTAAGTAGGCATTGTTCGGCCAAGTTCTTCCTCGTTTACCACTCATGCCCCAGTATACGCCAGTCCGGCATTTGCTTCGAATGGTCGTCCTAAGCTCTTGTCTGGAGGCTCGCCTAGAACACTGATACGTACTACTAAATGCCTCGACCTTGAGAAACACTTAAAGCGTTAGATGTTTACATAATGTTCGTTGATGCAGACTCAATCTTTCTCTCCATTTCGCAGAACCTATCGGTAGACATTGGGAGCCAGCATATGGCCAAGCCTCATAACATGGAAGGGAAGCATTTGAAGTCTAAATCCTCAGATACCTGCAGTGTAACCTTAAGAACTTCGATTCGTTCTTTTCCCCAGGTTTGGCAGCTAAAGCCGGATAGAGCACTTCTTGTTGAATATGTACCAACGGCAGTTTTAAGCTGACTGTATCAATGACACTTTCGTAACGGTCAACACAAACAGCGCTGAACACCCCAGGGGATTAATGAACTTGGTTGACCTGAATAACTAATTCACGACGTAAGTGGAAAGAGATAGCCCAATTCACTTCCTCGATGCCCTTGTGAGTCGGTGTGCAGTTGGCGACTAGTCAGTTGTAGTGTTTAAATAAAACATAAATAGGAACCACTCTTTGTTGCATAGGCACAGTTTTGTAAGAAGACTTGAATCACATTTTGGCACACTAACTGAAAAAGAGTTGCACAACCATACTTCAGCAGCCTTATTAGGTCTGACGGATATAGAGGCAATTTTGTCAAGCGAGAGAAACGCTAGTTGAACCGCTGACGGTGTAAAAGTGCAACACCTATGGTCTGGAAGACCAGCTCTTGTGAAAAAATAATACTGTTGCAACCCATCGGTGTAGACATGGCCCGTGGACCAATGGCGATCGTTCGACGATGTGCGGTGTAACATCAGAACACACTGAGAGTTGTTTAAACTTCGGCAACTACTTACAAAGTATTTTGCATTAACAGTGGCCACAATAACATCCAACATCGCACAGAAATATTTGACTCGCCTGTACGAGCACAGATAGACCGCAAGGAAACTAGATCGCAACTCTCAGCTTGTAATGCATGTCAAAAAAATTGTCAACGGTTTTGACTTTTAATGAGCCACCGACCTGGGCTGTGGCAGCTTGAGGGCAGAAAGGCCCACACAAGGGACATGGCTTTCAGATCTGCGTTCCACAAATGTGCACATTGACCTCCCTCCGGCCTACAAGGTCTTATGCCGTCTAGTTCATAGATATTAAAATACGACAGCCGCAATGAAATTACCAGAATCGATCGAGTGCCGGTAGACAAAGAGCTCGCCTGACAGCTACAGAGACGAGCTTTTGAGAGAATGAAGACTGAAGATGTTCAGCTACGCTCATCAAAGTAACGCATGAGAATACAGGCAACCAAAAAATCTGTCAGGCGGCGGTCAGGAAACTAAAGCAGCAGAAGAAGGAACATTTTAAACTCACTCTGATAGGTCACTTGAATACTTATTCAGTTTTTATGCGACATAAACATTCCAAACTGACAAGCCCCGAAGATCTTATAAACGTCGGCAATCTGAAATACTTGTTTCAGAGCGCCAATCCGGTCGGATCTAATTTCGTGGCCGTATCTGCAGTATAAAAGCCCCAACCTTTTGCCAGACTCAGTCTAGAAGTTAATTGTTTCTGCACGCCCGTTGTCTGAAGACGAGCTGGGGAACCAGTCTCGAAAATTCACAATAAAATTTTGCCGTTTCCGAAAAACTTCACCTTTCTTAATATATATATATATATATATATATATATATATATATATATATATATATATATATATATATATATACACCGATCAGGTTACGGAACATGCTCGTTCCGTTGTGCCTTGGGGCTCATACTTAAACCCTCGCAGGCAGTCGCACAGCGACTAGTGATATATGTTGGAAAGGTAATACCGACAAAGACAAGGGAGACCGGAATGGCCATTTCTGGCTTATTAGCCGTCATCAGTCAGTCATACCCAACCCCAAGTGTGGATCACTTGAGATTCGAACCCGGGATCTTTGGTCATGGAGTTGAACGATCTACCATTGAGCCACGGGCCCGTTGTCCTGATCGGTGAGCACCCACTATCATAATTAATATTCCCGATCACAACCGACAGGACAACGGGCCCGTGGCTCAATGGTAGATCGTTCAACTCCATGACCAAAGATCCCGGGTTCGAATCTCAAGTGATCCACACTTGGGGTTGGGTATGACTGGCTGATGACGGCTAATAAGCCAGAAATGGCCATTCCGGTCTCCCTTGTCTTTGTCGGTATTACCTTTCCATATATATATATATATATATATATATATATATATGGATATAGGCAAAAATGCTGACCCCAGGTGTTAATATGGAAGAGGAGGATGAGGCGATCTCTGGGGAAGAAGGTTTATTTATCTGACGTTTCGTGTTCATACTCGAGCACATCTTCGGAGATAGGCTGAGCGAGAAATACAGGGTTTAAATAGGCCATCTGCACTCTCACCCGATAGGTTCGTCCCGTTCGCTACGGCCCATTGTGGCGCTGAAAGGCACGCCTACATACGGACTGGCTAAATGGCTTGCCAAGCATTTGAAGAAGCTGACGGACGGCTCAGAACACACAGCTGTATCGTCAACACACTTCCTGGAAAGACTAAAAGACGTCA